CTATCGTTTAAGGGCTTCGGCTTGAGACTGGTAGGTCATGGTTTCGAATCTTGCTAGAGCGGGTTTGTGGATGCGCACTGCTGAGGAGTCTCTTAATAGGACGAAACGGCCGTCCAGTGCTTCTAGGCTTTCGATGGTGGTCTAGCTTCAATTAACTCATGATTTCGAATTTGTTGTGGATTTTTGTTTATTGAAGTTGTTTACTAAATGTTTCAACTAAATTCAAAATCAGTCGTCAAATCTCTTACGATGTATGAAAAACACTTGTGTTTTATCACAATCATCATCGTCGTTTTTATTTTTATAATTGTTATTGTTATTATTGCTGCTGAAAATAAGTTCCATAGGAAGTATTTACTCTCTCTTAAATTTTTATCTCATCTCACATTATTCACAAGTTGTTCAATCAAGCATACTTCATGGGATTAATTGAGTGGTTTAGTTAGCTCACTCATAACTCCATTTCATATAGAATTTCTGAAGAACATGTTTATTTTATTCCGAAGTGAGGATTGTTGAGAAAACAGTTTGAATTGTAGTCATTGTGTGACCATTTTTACATTTATTGTCGCATATCATATGGTTCATATGATTAATAATGACTTCAACTTCCTTTTCAACATGATAATTGTGGTTTTCTGGAATTGATTCAGAACATTTCATGTTAATTATTCGATATTTGTATGAAAACCAATATAAAATATGATCATTAATTGTTATTAGTTCGCGTTAGACCTATTAAACATTTTAAGCTTTTTATCCATCGGTAGCTGGTTGTTTTATTGCGTATTGGTTGCTCTATTCTCTGCCATGATCGTGTGTAAACACTGATTTTAATTTATTGTATTTTAAGATTCGATCACTCGTGCATGTAAACTAATTAGTATATGAGATAAAGTTTATGGTTGGCGAAAATATGATGGTTGAAGCTTGTCTGTAGTGTTCTGTTATCGAAAATTAAGACTTTGAGACATATGTTGAAGCTTATGTCAGCGGACCATTCATATTCAGTCTTTTGAATCTTTTCTCTGGGTTTTTTGGCAAACAAACCTTGCAATCAATCGTTCGCTGTGCTGTTGTTTTCAATGATGCATTTCGACGGTTTTATGAATTTCACTCAAATACTTGCAATCACGGTGTTTTTAATCATGCGATTACCACTGACAGAAAACCTGTCTTAAATTGTAACTTCATTTAATGACTCATAAGGTTATAGTTGTTTTAGCACATATTTAACCTAGGCGATTGGCATCATTATACCATAAATGTGATCATGGTTTAAAAGTAACTCAGTTGATTTCAGACACGGGGTATGAGGTAGAAATACTAACGGCATACTGTAATAAACAAGAACACGGGTAGAGACAATCGAATGTATGTTGGCACAAAATTACAGGAAATCTCACTAAAATCTGACAACGATATTGTAAATAGTTAATTTGCAAACTACCAATCAATTGTCTCAATCTTGAACGTTCCCTCTGCTAATATCAGTCCATCGTCTCCGATTATTATTGCTCATGCATTTTCATACCAATTGCGCTTCGTCCTCGTTCTTTCGTTATCTATCTTCTACTGAAATATATCCAATGCCTGAGCATCGTTATATAATACTTATGTGGATACAAGTAGTTCACACCACAATATAAATAAAGTTTTGTGCATAAATTTCTACTAATTTTCGCTAGAAAATTATGAAAGAATGAGTAACACTTGTTAACATGTGGAGGGGATTGTTTGAGATAGGATTTGTCGGAGAATCATTTTGGGTGGCCTGCGCTCCATGAGAACCAACAGTCATAAGTAAGTAAAATTATGGCTTTATTGCTTATCATTCTATACTGATCTATGGAAATTATTTGAAGCCAAAACTTGCTATTTTAAATGTAAAAAATTAGTTATTCGACGTAATAGATGGGTGATAATTATTCAGATATAACCAATTTAACTAAATATCTGTATTACAATTATTACAATCCAAATGTGATTGCATTTCTAAATTATGAGCGTTCAAATCATTCGATTTCAGACTAGTTCTGTTACATAATATCAACATGTAAATAACCTTGACTGACTGACAACTTCTATTCCATATAACTAAGGTTCATTGAAAATCTTAGTTTTATTATTTTATATTCATAAATCTATACAATGAAGCAATGTGAGAATGCCTGTCGTATAGGCACGTATAATATTGAATTCTATTTAGATAGTGTTGGAAACAATGGTAAACTGATACATGTATATATAATATGCATCATGTGTTTTCGACACAATTAAAAGCAATTAGAAAACGTAGAACATTATTCGTTCATTTGTTTACTTGTAACTATATCGAAATCAGTTTACTCAAATCAATTATTCATACTTTCAATCATGACTGGGAAGACAGTAAAATATAAGGTTATCTCTTATTGTTTCCTTCCCCTTCCCCCCTCCTGTCATTTATATACAGTATATAAACCTTTTTGGTAAATTACACTATTATATACAAACTCTCATTGTCACCATCCATTTATTATCCTACATTTAATAGATCTCATTATAATTGATGAATAACCTCGTGCATAAATGAAAAATTGTGTAAATAATTTCATAAATGAAACAGATTAATTTACATAAACATAGTAGCAAAATATTGTTAGCATTGTTTTACAGAATGAGAAAAGATACCTTTTGAGGTGAACAATGAATTCAAGTATTTCATTCCACTAGTGTACATGAAACCACAGTAACTAAAAAGAAAGTAACAATGAATAGTGTTGAAGTATGAGGTGTAAAGAAAGAAAACAATGAGTTATTTGATTGTCTCATGCAAAAATATTTTTCGTACATTATCTTGTTGCTCACCTAATTGTAAATGTTACAAAAACTAAAATCTCCATATTTGACATTGAAAAGATTAGGGCTTGTCATTATGAAACCATTATTATGATTTTACTAAGGGGAGATTATGAAGATCTTTTGAATTTCATAGGTTGAGTTTGAGGATGACCACTGCTAAGGAGTCACATACTAGGACGAGACGGCCATCCAGTGCTTCCAGGTTTTCCATGGTGGTCTAACTTAAATTGACTCATGAATTTAACTATTAAATTTATTAATGGTAATTTCGAAGATCCAATTAAATGAAGAAAATATCCTTTTTTGATGTACATGAGACAGTAAACTAATGAAACTTTATGATTTTTTTTATTCTGTCAGCTTACACTCTACAAAACTTAAAGTTCACAATCACTCCTTTTTAGAAAATTGCTTTCAAATTTTCAAACTGCCAAATTAGATAGAGCAACTGTTTTTGTTGGGTTTTTTTATATTTTTATTTTCATCGACTCATAGTGATATGCAATGATATAAGATAAGAGATTCCATGGTGGTCTAGCTTCAGTTAACTCAATAACTCGACTATTAAGTTTTTATAATATCCACAAAACTCCCTTCTGATAATGATCATACGCTCACTAGTGATCGGCTTCTAGAGATATTTCCTGGAGTTCTAGTGAAAAGCAGTGACCAGTGGAGTTCAACCAGGTCTGCTGTGAGATAGTAACTCACTGAAGAAAATGGTGGACGGTGGCTCAATTTCGTCTATTGGTTGAAGTAAGACATTAACACCATTGGATGCTGGTCAGCTCAGTGGTCTAGAGGTTAGGCGATCGCGCGCGAGACTGGTAGGTCCTGGGTTGGAATCTCGCTAGGTGGGATCGTGGATGTGCACTGGTGAAGAGTCTCACAATAGGACGAAACGGTAGTCCAGTGCTTCCAGATTTTCCATGGTGGTCTATATTCTGTTAACCCATTAACTCAACTATTAAATTTCTATGATATTCACAAAAACTTCCTGCATAGAATATGATATATAAATAGCTAGAAAATAAATCATTATGATCATTATCTCATTGCATAATAATGAGTGATAAAATGGGATTTAGTAGTTAACAGACAAAACCTTGTTATCTTATCATTATGAATAAAATGTCACCTAGTTATTGAACCACAATAAAGATATTTTCTGAAATCAGCATGCCTAGTATGTATCCCATACACATATCCATAATAGACACAAAATTTCATGATAATGACTGTCTGTGAATGTAAAATCATAATTTTGGGGGGGATGTAATATGTTTATGTTTTTTTATGACTATGGAATTAAAATATTCCCTGTAGATTAATTTTAGAAAGGATCTAGTTTAAAACCCTGATAATGAACTGATTAGTCTTATAAACTGAAATATAATAAACATAAATAGGTAATACAATCAATCTCTAATAAATTGTTTAATGTTAAGATTTACGTAACAAAACATGATTTTATTCTTTGATAAAACATTATATTTTCAAAACTATAATTAAAGTATTAGTTGAATATATATGTGGGTCAGTCAGTCGGTCAGGAACAACGCAGGATCAGGCACACATATTCATCGGTTCAAGTTGCCATACCTCATTTTCACAATAAGATGAAAACCGAATTCATAAAAGTAGTTAATTTAATGGTGATAATATAAAAAAGAAAGATTATATATAAGGATATAGTACAGGAAGGAAGACAGATATGAAACAATTGTAATCTCAAGGTTTAAGGGAAGAGAAAGATTGCATACACCTACGCCATTGTGATCGATTCTGAGCCATGTCACCCAGAATCTCCAACCATTGGTTACGATAGTCACGCGGATACCGACCAAGTAGTCTGCATCTGCCAACATGGCTCAGACTAGAAACATATGTGGGTTATATTCATTATAGCTAGAAAGGAATGCCCAGGACAGAGTGGATCGGAGAATGCTGGTCGGGAGCCTATACTCCATTGGGAGTAACACGCGTAAGTAAATAATATTCATTGTAACTTCTGAGCATGAGCTATTTTTAACAAATTGAAAAAAAATTAAAATAACTTTTATAACAGAAATAAATAAAGCTATGGAGATAACTAAACAAATTATGCAAACAAACAAAAAATATTGTTTTTAGTTGAACAATTGTTAAGGAACACATTACCATGATGATGATGATGATGATGATGATGATGATGATGATGATGATGATGATGATGATGATGATGATGATGATGATGATGATGATGATGATGATGATGATGATGATGATGATGATGATGATGATGATGATGATGATGATGATGATGATGATGATGATGATGATGATGATGATGATGATGATGATGATGATGATGATGATGATGATGATGATGATGATGATGATGATGATGATGATGATGATGATGATGATGATGATGATGATGATGATGATGATGATGATGATGATGATGATGATGATGATGATGATGATGATGATGATGATGATGATGATGATGATGATGATGTTGATGATGATGATGATGATGATGATGATGATGATGATGATGATGATGATGATGATGATGATGATGATGATGATGATGATGATGATGATGATGATGATGATGATGATGATGATGATGATGATGATGATGATGATGATGATGATGATGATGATGATGATGATGATGATGATGATGATGATGATGATGATGATGATGATGTTGAGGAGGAGGAGGAGAAGGAGGAGGATATATATATATATATTTTATATTTACAGTTGAGTAACTAATCGAAAGCTCGAGTAGTCAACTGTCTACATCGTTACATATGATTTTTAAATGTTCTGTTTTTGTCTGTTTATTATTGAACACTGGTAAAAAGTCAATGAATGAACAACAATCGATTTTGTATTTTATTCATTTTTATAAGTCACTCAAAAAATTTATAAAACTTGGCGATTTTATAAATCATAAGAGCTATAGTCCACTTCGTTTAAGTGTTTCTTTTCAATAGTTGTTCCACAGTAACTTTCTGTAAAAGACATCTTGAAAATCAGAGAAGAAAATCAAGCAATTCGGATTATCTTGGTTAAAGTTTGAAAGTGATACAATAAGTAGGATGGTAAGTGGTTGAACATTATAATATGACGGTGGTTAAAAACTAATGATCAATGATTGTAATTTATTTGGTCAAATAAGTGTTACATAACATAAAGTTTTGTTACTACCTTTCCAGAGCATTAATTTCTATGACCGAAAATCGTTCATTCAAAGTGTTATTTGTAATGGATCAATTACATATGAATAGTGAAAATTGGCAGCCATATGTTTGAAGCTGGATAAAATCAAATATACATTATAATCACCTGATTTATATTTCACATCACAAATAGTGAATATACCATTGTAGAAAAATAAATCCATGTTAATTGTCTAGACTAAAATAACTCATGAATACAAATATATAAGAACTTTCGTCTAAATTAAAGCGAATAGTTTCACAGTATTTGAGCGCCGAGTTGATGTTATACATGAAATAGGAAGAATATGTTTGTAAAATCTCAGTTGAATGAATTTGAAGTAAATCCAATGTTTCACCTGGCAATCTGGTTCAAGCCTTTTCAAGGAAATATCTATTCATTCGCAGAGATTTTACAAATATATATTGTTCCTATTTAATGTCATTAATACAAATTATTATATAGTTAAGAATAGATAAATCAGAAGATCATATACGAACACTCTGGAAACGATAAAATAACTGAATAACTAATGCAGGTATATGAATTAGTTACTGATCACAAAATGCAATTCTATGTCGTACGTATATTAAGAAAGGTTAAAGGGTTTGAAAAAGCTTGAACCAGATTGCCAGGCGAAACGTTGGATTTACTTCAAATTCATTCACTGAGATTTTACAAATATATTATTCCTGTTTAGTGTCTTTGAACAGTTTGTTTTAATTGTCAGGTAACAAAGACTTAAAACAAATAATATTTTAAATGGAATCTAGAAGACAGTGAGAACGAGAATTGAGAACCAAATAATTGTGTTATATCAGTAAATATCAAAGAATAAAAATTACCGAAGTAGTTGTACACTGCCATTAATCATGTTTTAAATATATCTACTGGGTTTAAATTGTCTGACAACAAACTATCTTAGTGAAACATGATAAGTTCTAGTATATTGTTTAGTCGTGTAATTTACAAATCTTTAGGAGATTAGCTCAATATCCATGTCCTACTTGAAATATTCATATCTTTGGGTGTCTAGGGTTTTATAATATGAACATAATTATAATTACAGACTCACCTCTTTGTTTGTTCTTGAAGCAGATGCTTTGCTACATTCATTTATATTTAGAAAGACATATGATTAAAAGTAACATGAAAAGGTGGTTTATTAATTATAATTCGTTAATTAACTATCACCGAATCTAAGGTATAAAATGATAAAATGAACATTATTCAACATTACACTCACAGTCTATGTTTATTTACATCTACTGATGAAATTCCCTAGATGTTGTTATTATATCCGTAATTTTCAACAACCCATAACTTATTTCTCTAAGCTTCTTCTGATCATTGTCAAATGACTTTTTAATAACCCTCGTTTGAAGAACAATGAAAAGAAAGTTTGAATTAAGTTTATTCCATATCCTTCCACTAAAATGTGTTCGTATATCTTCTGACTCTTTGAATTCAAAGATCAAGATAGCAATATATATAACTGTACACAATCGGATAACAGCTCAGTGGTCTAGAGGCTCATCATTCTCAAGAGACCGAAAGCTTTGGGTGAGGTTCTCGGTTTCGGAGTAATGGAGGCTCACTATTAAGCAGTATCATACTAGGATGAAGTTGATCATTCAGTAATTTTAGTTTTCCAATGATCAGCTCAGTAATATAAAAAAATTACTTCCATTACACACTTAATTTTCCTAATAAAAATAATATTAACAATTCAATTTATAATAAGACTATGAATTCATTGTTATTTCAGTCACCTATTTTTTTCCAGTTTCATCTACAGTCTAAGTGATAGACTATTTATGCATCCTTCTTTTTTGCGGAACTAATTACTGACGTAAAAAAATCATTATAGATAAGATCATTTACTGATTTTTTCTGAACCATTAGTCTATATATTACTTATTTATATGCACTAGTACATATTAGATAACATCTATATACAGATAATAAATATGTGCTGAGTTATCAAAACTGAAGTGATTAGTGGAATAGATAACAATAATGATGAAAATAACTCAAAATGTAAGTAAATAAGGAAAATATAAAAATAGTAATAAAAATTCCTTCAGGAATAATAACCATTCACTCATTCTTTCCTGGTTTGACTTCCTACATTACCTTTGCTCTCTAATTGGTTGTCAGTGTTTTTAGTTTACTTAAAGGTTCTTTTATGCTACTATAGTAGCAATAGTTATACCAGTTCGTTTTGTGTTTTTAGTTCTAGCTTGAAAATCAAATTCCCTGCAATTCGCCTTCTTTTTGTGTTAGCCGTCGGGGTTCTGTTGTACTGTGTGTGAATAGCCGTAGCTGATTTGAAAAATAACAGATCGTATTAGAGTAGATCAATTGTTTTTAATCGTAAATCCATGAACATTGTAGGCACATACTGAACCCTAATAGCAAGATACAACAACAATATGTGTTGCTTAATCATGATAATGTAGTTTTAAAAGTATAGATAAATATTTTCGTCCATGTGCATAGTAGTAGTAGTAGTAGTAGATAGTAGTAGTAGAAATACTATTGACATTCATTACTTCGAAGAAAACCAAAGACAAATGCGACTGTGTCACTTGGTTCATATGATAGTAGATCACTGAATGTCTTTAGCCACATTTATTTTGATTATCTTACTCATTATAACCCGAGGGTCTCTACTTCATAACATAACCCAAAGCTACAGCCAATAATTTCATAGACTGATACAATATCAGGGTTTGGCAACTCCTAATCATTTTCTGATTTAATTTGTAGTTTTCAGCTTACAACGTTGTGATAAATAATGTCCCTTGGCTACTCGTCAATACCATATGTGGAAACTACTCGAACTTGTTCTGAAGTCTAATTTACCATGTCAAATAAATAAAAATGTGTGAAATAGAACAAATATTTGGAGTGGGACTGAATAATTTTGTGAATACACAATCATAATGGATTGAATTAGGTTTTAATTATTTTGTTTAAATCACTTACATAGTCTAGCTTCTTTGAATTTAAGACGTTAACAAATGCAGCCAACTATGAATAGACTGAAAGTTGACGGAATAAATAAATTAAGATAAGATTTAATGTATTCCATCTGGATATGTTAGAGACTAATTCAAGGATTATTTAAAAGACTGCCATATGAAGCTTTAAACAAACATCCTTAGCTTATTAACATTGATGCTAGTAAAACTCTAGAACCTTTTTTTATGTCATTCACTTTTTAGAACACAAGCATGTAACATAATTATAATTAGTAAAGTATAGACGTAGTTGAACCTAGAGCATGAAGATTGAAAGGAAATTTAAAGATTATTTGCCCCGTAAAATTATGAATGTCAATAAAAATGCCAAATAAACTCGTAAACCCAAGGACAAACTTTAACAGACAAAGCAAATCCACTATATCGGAATAGTGTGTTGAATGGATCCACTACAAACTTCGATTTATTTTGGATACTACTTGTAAGATTTCAGTAGAATAATTGTTATACAAAATTATTTCTCGAGATGTATAGGAAGACTAAGTGTGATTTCCTCTAAAAATACAAAATAGATAAATTAAAGCAGTATGTTTATTGACGATGATTCAAATTTCTCATCCGTTTTTCTGTCAGCTTCATGCATCTTCATATTTCATATCAATTCCTTTACTGTGTATACATTATATAATGTGCTGATTAAAATATAATCAAGAATATCAACAATAAGGTGATTCGATGCCTCACTAATAATAATATGGACATCATACTCGATGAATAGACTAGTGGCTGTCTGTACTCGATAGCTCAGTAGGTAAAGTGTTAAGTTTTCAAAGTGAGTATCAACTTTGATTTCCGGGCACATTCATATGATGATTCTCAAATAGGATGAAACTCATATTCCGGTTTATATTGTTATACACAATCCATATATTCTATAAAACCTGTGAATTAGCAGTTATATCGAGACAATCTATGAGGAATGCATATGTGCCAACAAAGACTGATTAAAATTCCGTAAAGATTATCGACGACAATATAATTCAGACCCTTACTAATAATGATGCTGTGGGGTCAATGAAACGACAATGAGCCCTAGACAAACCAACCCTCATGCTGAACTATTTCGATGTAAGACAACAGATTACTGATCATTGAACAGTATATCAAAAATTGTCGGGGTCAATGGTGAGTAAAATGGATTAACCAATTGCACCTTATGGAATGACCCATGTGGCGGTCATCGCATTGTTTCTCTAGGCTATTCTTAATATTACATTTCTTCAATAACGTCATGTCTGTTCTATACGGTCGTCAGAGTAGCTGCAGTACCAAGTAAACCACGTAAAGTAGTAAATGCTAGGTTTGGCTTCGATGTAAGTTTGGTCACATTATTCCCATTCAACTCTAGTAGACGCAACCATCCACATAGATTACCTACATTTGTGATCTACAATATTTTATCAACAGTTAACTCAATAATGAATGCCTGAGTTAATGATCATACTATTTTCATAACATTATGATACACAGTATTGAGTATTATGGTAATGAATGTAAAATTAATGTTTTACTTCAATGTTGATGTTAGTATTTTACTATTCATTTACAGAGTGAACATCATTATTGATGTAGCTACATTTTGAGTTAAGACTTATTTCTTTATTTCTAGATGTAAAAGGTCAACAGGTAAAACTGCATCCAAATTCTTTTTTCATGTAAAACAACCACTCATAAATTGAAATTCTATGGGAATTATTCGTCAAAGTATTGTTTTATGAAATTAGGCTGATGTTTGTTAGACAGAGGTTTATATTAAAAAATTTGAGGTCTTTGCAGCTGACGTTTGTAGTATGTTTAGCATGTCTCTTATTTTCCTCGTTTAATAAACGATATTAAAAGCCGATACTTATAACTTATTCAAGATGATATATGAAAATTGTGAGTAAACGTTTGAATTCTTTCCCGGTTTTTATTATAATAAAAATATTCTGTCACAGTTCCGAACAAGAATTCTGAAATACATTCAATTACCAAATGTTTTAAACAAATTTACAGTACTTATCAGAGATTAAGAATCGAGAGATTGAAACATCAAACAAGAATTCAAACGAAGCCTTAACTTTTTACGTTTAATAAATATTTCTACTCATGAGTAGGCCAACTGAAATAGTTAAATTTCTAGAAACTATATTACTCT